GGGGGCGAGGGGCGGCGGGGGTCAGCCAGGGGCCGGGGCCTGGCACTTCCTAAGTAAATTAATAAGCTGTCTGTCTGTGGTGCCCTGCCAGCCCGCTGGCGTGTTACTTTCACGGATGGATGTGGGTGCGGGTGAGGAAGGTGGCCAGCACCTCGCTCGTGCCTCCGGCAGAAGTGAGTGACACCCGTGTCTTGCCGTGTGTGTGGGCTTCACGTTTGTGACTGCTTTTCAAGCGTCTCTGTGAATAAAAGTTAAGAACAGCGACTGTGCGGGCAGGGCGGCGGCCCTTCCTAGGTAGCTTCGAGCCGGGCTGGCAGCCCCCTTGCTTCCAGGGGCAGGACCTGAGGCGCAAAGGTGGGGCTGCAGGTGCTGGGCAGAAATGGCTGCTCGCAGCCCTCCCCCTGCGGGGATGCTCGCCTGTAGACGGAGTAACGTAGAGCAGGTCCCTGTGGTTCCCTAAGGACACATCGTGAATCGTGGGCCCCACGGTCAGTGGTACAGCATCCACCGTCTTCAGTGGGACCCAGCTTCCTCCCAAACATTTCAAGCTCATGCATGGACGTGAATTAATTCAGATGTACGTGGCATGAGCGCTGCATGCATACAGTAACTGCTGCCGTGATTTCTTACCGTCATCCGCTGCATTAGCATGTGACTATCATACGTTGACAGAAGGCTGCTAGATTGGTCAGTATGGCAAAGCCACTACTGTCCAGGTTATAATATCACATCTCAGATCATGCTTGCATTTTTTTTGATAATGATTTTATTGTAAATTGTAACAAGGCTGATAGATGAGTAGTTAGATTTCATGACTGAAGACAGTTAATGTAAGTTCCATTTTACTTCAATCAATATTCCACAGTAAAGCAAGGAAATCATTCATACAAAAAGCTGTTAGCACACTGATTTGTTTCTGTATGCTTTAAATGGCTTGAATTACTTTATTTTGTCATATAGCAAAAAGTCCTGCTGATGGTACTCCAAGAAGACCTGTTGTATCTGTCAATGCAAGAAAAATTAAAGATAATGCAGCAGACTGGCATAATTTAATGATGAAGTGGGAGAGACTAAATGATAATGGATTTACTACGGCAAACAAAATAGTAAACATGAAGATCAGTGAGCAGTAAGTATGCTAATAACACATACAAGTAAAGACAGCATAAAGATTGCCTTTATTGAGAAATTAATCTGTTTTCTTCACTAGAAAGTTCTTTTTGGAGATGGGAGAAAGAATATATCAGAGTGCATACTCTAGCTCTTAGATCAAGCTCAGCAGTTGCACTTTTTGGTTACATAAACTATTTACATTCAAATAATAAATGTCTCAAAGACTAAAATAATCTCATGAAGTAATGATGATATTTGCAAGAAATGGAAACTGTATTATACATAGTTAAGCACAGTGGATATTAAAAATACATACATAATATACAAAGTTAGAATCTAATCCAACAGTTCTCAGCCTATGTGAGTTCCCTTACTCTCTTGCACATTTACACTGAGGACAGTATTACCAAATTTCAGTAAAGTCAAATTTCAGCAGATTTTAAGAAAGAATCAGTGGTTTATATAAACATAAAAGTTGTAACAGTGATGATTAAAAAAAAAAAACACAACAAAACCCACTTCAGTAGAGCTGTTATCTTCATGCTGTAAAGAAAAGCCTATAACTACCAGAGGCTTGAGAAGAAACTTCTCCAGACTCCCGACAGCTGAACAGGGTTTGTCTGACAGGGTTCTAACAGGTACAAGCTCAGGAATATTTTGCTGTAATGGTGTCAGCTGTTGCTTTCGCTCTCTAGCAACTCCCTCTCTCCTGTCTTAAGTTTACAGCTTCTGTGGGGAAGTCAGCAAGACAGGATAGGTGTCTGCACATCAGCTGCTCTGGCATTGTGCATGAAGGTGAGTTTGTGGTGAGGCACCAGATTGTCGGCTGGAGCACGTGAAGCCTGGGCATACCTTGTCCATTATGAGAGAATAACCTCCTCCAACACAGGGGCAAGGTGAAGTGGGAAAAGGTGTTATCTTAACACCTATAGTTGTTTTTTCAAGCACATGCTCTAAGGTAAAGTAATTCTATGTTCCTTGGAAGATTATGGTACCAGCCCCAATTGCTGACATGGCTAGCTATATCTCTTACTATTTTTCTGTAGGAATTCTCATGAAGAGCCTGTGAGAGAGAGATTTTGTAGCATCAGACCACATGATTTTAAATCTGCACAGCTCGAGTAAAGCTATATGCAGTTTACTCTGCCTTATGTTTCTATTTTAGATTTCAGGACAACAAACTGGAGATCGCATGTGATAACAGTGCCACTGAATCTGAAAAGCCAACTCTAAAATACAATGAGGAATTGGATAACTGCTGTGCAGAATTACTAGAGACCTTAAAGCATATGGTAATGCTCATTTTTCAATCTTAGTCAATATGAATCAATTCCAAGTGTGTTCAAGTATGACATAAGGAAATGTCCTCAATTATTTGTTGTAAATAGAATTGGGGTTTTTATTCATAGTGCTTTGGCTTCAAACCTAAATGATTATAAATCTAGTGTGCACCGTTTATTTGCTTGATTGGTAAATTTGAAAGTTGGTTTTACATCTGTCTTCTGCTTATAATTCTACTCCTCCCTTTATGAAATGATCTTCTGAAAATGAGTTGTACAAAAAGGCATTCTAAAACTGCACCTGTTTTCTGCTTTCTCATCCTGAATATTCCCTCTGTTTAGAACAAAACAAACAACAAAGCATAAAGCGGTGCTTTACCTGCCATCATATCCTTGCAGTTATCTTTGATCAGACATAATGCAGTTATATTTTTAGTCTGCCTACCTGCATTTTCTGTGCGGAACTCCTTCTCTAGAGAGTACAGTAAGAGAGTTATTATGTAACCCATGTTTTTTCTGGATACATTGCTAAGAATTAATGTCACCTATCAGTTTGACAGGAAGCAAAAAGAATATTTTTTTGCCTGATACTGTAATTTTAAATTAGTGTTAAAAAGAACTTCTACAGTCTTCTGACAAAAGCCCATTAAAAAGATGATAGATCTATTTTTTATATAGACAGAATACCAGTCCAGTATTTAGAATAAGCAGGAAAGCAGCTAGATTTTCCTCAAGTTTTGTTCTGTGGGAAAAAGTAACAGTAATTTGGGGTTTTTTTTCCCTTGAGGTAATTTTGTATTCAGACTACCAAGTGTGTTGATGCAGTTTTTTATTACTCCTGAGTAATAGGAGCCTAAGCAGCCAGTGTTAGATTGGATAGTAATTATAGCTACTATAGACATACTTTATTTTTCATTCCTTATGAGTTTGTACCAGCTTACGAATTTCTAGAAATAACCTGTATTTTAGCTTCTTGATTTAAAGACACTGTGTGCAAGCTCAATTTCATTGTAAATATTAGTCCCCATCGGTAATGCACAAAGTCAGGTGAACATGAAGGAAATGGATGGAATGACCTGTTTTTTGAAGCAAGCTGTTAAATCAGCCTAGATATATTGTCAGTAGTAGCTTGAGCTGCTTTTATCACCTGCTGTTGATGTTTTGAAATCAGATTTAAGTAATCTTGACGTGGTAATGTAAGAAAGCATGTGTTTATAGGGCTTGTGCCACACTTGTTCATATACAGTCTTGATGTTTTTCCCCAGTACCAAATTGCTATAGGAAAAACCAAGAGAGACATGAAAAAATGAGAGGACTGTGATATATTTCTACATGGGGGAAACAAAAGAATTATGCAAAATCAGAGTCAGTAAGTCATATCTGCAATGTTAAAAATTTTAGGGTACCTCATATTAAATCTTTATATAAATTCCAGCTTTGATTCCTGTCTGGAGTTAAAAAAAAGTGAGTTAGAAATGTTAAGACTAAATAATGTTTTAAGTTAAGACTAAAATGTTAAGACTTCAGAAATAGTGTGTTTTAAAAAAATGTTTAAAATTATAGTAGCCTAATGTTCCTGAGTTGTTAATTAACTTTACATGTTCATTATTTTCAGACAAAAATACAGCTGAAAATGGAAAAGCTTACTTCAACTACTAAAGCAATCTGTGACTTGGAAACATTCCACCATGGAGCTGGGAATTGCACAGCGCCCTTCTTTCATACATGGCCCACACCATACTTCTGTAAGTAAAATATTGATTATCTTAGCTAATTGCATTGTGTTGTTGATGTCATCTAGTTGAGGACTGGAAAATAAACCCTTTTATCTGGATGTCTTGCCTTAGAGAGAGAGAGTGTAGCTCTCTCCTTTATAATTGACTAATCAATAAACACATGAATGCACCATTTGGCTTAGGGTTACTGCTGATGACTGCTTGTGTGAATTGCCAAGCGTTGTCTGACATGCAACAGTTACAGCATAAAACTAAGCTTGTCAGCAGCTTACAGTGTCCAAGCTGCAACAGTCACATCCTTTGTAGGGAGAGACACATTTGCAACTCGGTAGTGTTAAGCCGTAGGCTTAACTGACTTGATTTGTTACTTGACACCAAAATTAAATCCTTGAATGCAAAGAACAAGCTATACCTCAGTCAATTCTCAGGCAGCCAAAGAAAAATACCTCTGATCTCAGTGTCAGTCAAGACAAGTAAAGAAATGTTCAGTTACTGTCTACTGCTAATATCAATCCCTTTAGCATTCGCTTGATGGCAAAAGGTACTGCCTCCCAACTGGCATTACCGTGGTTTTAAAGCTGTTTGAATTCAAGAGAAGCCTGATTGCATGCAAACCAACTGCTGCCTTTGTGAAGTGAAAGTCATATCTTTGTGGAGGCCTGCTTTTTACTTCACTACCACAAGTTAGCAGGAATCTCATGTATTAGTTTCTGCCAGCTTAAAAGAGTAAGAATGACAATGACAACTTCTGTCAAAACGCTCGTTGTGACTGAATCATTTAGTGATGCTCTCTATTCCATGAAAGACTAGATCCTCCTGAAGGTAGTGGTAGTTCAGTCTAAGTTAGAAACACAAGATCAGTCTCTCTTTAAAAATAATTTGTGTGGTTATTTTTAGAAAGTCAAACAACTAAGGATTATTACATAGATATATTTTAACCCCCCTACCAGTATTGCTAACATAACTAGTAAGAAGATTAGTTTTTCCATTACACATTTCAGTTTTGGTCTGTTGTTTTGTTTTACCGTTATTTTTCACTATTGGTATGACTCATGGTGATCATGCATTTATCACTGAAGTGCCTGACAGCATGTGAGGGCATCCTTTATGTTGGCTAAAATCAACAGTGACTCTAAAATGTGAAGCTTGTATTTCAGGATAGCATTATCAAATTTTAAAATCAAATTTCAGTTATTTGAAAGAACAGCTATAACTGATAATTTTACAGTGAGTCCTCAGAATCAGTACCACCGCTGATTCTAGAATTAAAAGGGGATTCATGTCAAAATCACAGGCGTATAAAATATATCCAAAAGCTGAGGAAATTGTTTAGCATTTTATATTCTAGTGTACAAACATGATTAATGCTGTAGAAAACAAGATGTCTAAATACAGGGAATAGCTTACCTAACGTAGGGGGTTTTTTTAATGATCAACGTATTACAAGTGTAATTTAACTTTTAGAGAATTGCTGAAATGTTCTGGTCAACGTGCTTGATTTTTCAATCCGTTTCAGATGAGGTTTCTCTGAAGCTCTCTGAAATGTACAGGAAGGAACTACAACTGAAGCAAACAATTGTACAAGAAATCGCTCATTCTGCTGACCAGGATCTGATGATGGTCTATTTATCATCGTGGTTATACCAGCCTTACATTGAGAACAGCAGCAAACTGCTACTCGAAGCCATGCTGCTGGAAACAGGACATAGACAGTGCTAGAATTTCAAATATTACATGGCTTGCTTCTAAAGATGCTTACATGACACTGAAATGGCAAATTGTAAGGCTTACCAAGTAAGTTGAATTTTTGTAAAACTTATTAAAAATATTTTCCCCTATTTGTATTTATTATTTTGTCTCAGCTGATACTCCTTTCTCTGCGTGGGACAATCTGATTTTGGTTGCTTTATGCATTTTAAATCCTCCTACAGGTCCTATAAATCCCCTATAATCAGAAAGGGGTAAGCACTACTTGGCGGTCTGGGAGGGGATTCAATGCACATAGACACTTACAGCAAAGAATGTAACTGCTTTCTAAGTTTTGACAGTCAAAAATGCCTGCACTGTCCCTTTCACCATAGCAATTCATCACTTCTTGATCTTTCATGGGGTTTTTTTTGCATAACTTAGCAGGGCTAGTGCTTTTGTACATGCTTTATAAATGGGGAAAAGGAAAGGAAAGCACAAAAGGCAGGATCCAGAAGTGGATCCAAAAGGATCCACATAGTTTGGTATGTGGTTCTGAAATGCTGTCACAGACACTAGTGTAAATTGTGGTTTGGTTTTGATTATGGCACGGTTAGGAACAACACCCTTGGAGAGTGATCCAAGCCTAAACTAGCACACTGGGAAGGTTTAGTACAACTCGCCATTCCACAGTCATTATATGAAAAGGTCCTGTCTCTTTTAATTCATTGTAAGCTTCTTCTTGTAAGCATCTGTTGAATGAAAACAAGACCTGCTTCAGTCGTGTCCTTATGCCGTATTGTTTGCTTCCTGTGAGAGGGCTCAGTGAGTTTTTCCTTGGATGACTGTTTCTGATGTCAAGTGGGTTTGGTTTAAAGGTGTGCCCCCTCTGTATTCTTGGCTGGCAGTTTATGAGAATCGGTGGCTCAAATTCTTGCTTTTCTTTTTCATGCTGCTTTTTTGGAAAAGAGAGCAGAGAGTGTGTTCAGGAGAAATAGTTAATGCAAAAGCTAAATGCTGAAGTGGAATTCAATACCCTTATTTGCTTCCATTTGTAAAGATACAATAGTAATCACCGTAGCATACCATTATGTCAGACCTCAGTAGCTTGGAGAAGCTGCTACACTTAGCCAGCCTTTAATAACTGTTAGTTGCTATTGCAAATTAGCACTTTTCAGAGAAGTGTATTACAATGTGGAAACTACGCAGCTGTGTCATCACATTTTTTTAGTTAAATCCCTAATGTGCAGTGAATTTAGGCCTTCTGCTTACTTCATTATGATTAATAATCTAAATTCCTCCAACTTACTGATTGCCTGTATGACCTGCTCCTATATGAACTGTTCATTTAGATCTCCTATTTCGCACAATTATTTAGTGTTTCTAGGTGCTGTTGACTCATCGTTGTGCCCTGACAGATGTTTACCCTTGATTCACCTTGAAACAACTATTTGAATTAAAAGACAGTAACATGAACTGCACACTACTGTGAAATGACCAAAATGGCTGTGGTTTCACACTACAAAGATCTAATTAAAACAGTGAGAGGTTCTGGAACAGATTTCTGATTAGGGTCACTTACTTACTTAACTAGTTCCAAGATGAAACCCCATAAGCTTGGTAAGGGAAATACGTGAGTTTCCTGCAATAACGGAACAGCCAGACATGAATTGGAAAAGTTTTCCTCAACGTGTTGTTCTGTTCAACAATGAGGTTGTTTCTGACAGCTTAATAGTGTTCTATTCTTACCCCAAATTTCTAGCATCTAAAAAGAAATTCGGCTGTAGCTCAAGGAGAATACGATCAAGTTATGAACAGCTTTGTTGGGTTTTACTATTTTTCTGTGCAAGCATTCCACCCACTTTAACAGCCACCTTAATTTACCTGAGTAGGGCTAGACCTTTGTCACTATGGAAACACCTTTATACTTGAAAAATATTTTCCAAGGAGAAGAGGTTGGTTCTCTTATAGAATTGTTCTTTTAAGATGAGAGTAGGTGTATTTTATTTCCCAGTATGTGCAATTCAATAGGGAAGGCAGAATTGAAGCACATTTTCATTTTCTGCACAGGTGGAAATTGTGGTTTGTTCTTGTTTCTTCAGAGGAAATAAGCTCTTCAGGAAGGAGTCTTCATAGTCACAGCCCCCCTTGCTCATTGACTGCTATCAGACACGGGAAGATTACTGCAAAATCATCGCAGAGGTGTTTTGTCATTATGGCTCTATGTAGTTGATTGTTGTATTTGAAGCCCTCCGATGTAGTTATTAGACAGTCAGTACAAAAGAGTGTAATAAAGAATTGCTTACTGCAATCAGACTTTGAAAGACCAGCAGAACCTTGCTTTGTATGGTTATCTTCACTTATAAGGTAGGCCTGTATCCTCTGACCATTACCACCTCCTAAAAAAAAAGAGGGGGAAAAAACCCAAACCAAAAACTACACTATAATCCCAACCACCAGGCAGGAGCTCAGTAATACATGATGACATCTTTCACATCCACACAGAAAAGGCAGTGTTTTGGCTAATCAAATTAATCTTAGGCAACCAGGAAAAAAAAAAAAAAACAAAAAACCCAAAAAAACCCCAAACCAACTATGTTAAAGGGATATAGTAGAGCAGGTTGTTTCATCTCTAAACTGTCCTCTCTCTTCTTTGAACTATTTAGTGTAAGTTTTTCCTCACAGAATCATTAAGGTTGGAAAGGACCTTCAAGTAATCATCAAGTCCAACCATCAACCCAACACCACCATGCCCACTAGATGATATCCTGAAGTGCCACATCTACACAGTTTTTGAACACTTCCAGTGATGGTGACTCCACCACCTCCCTGGGCAGCCTGTTCCAATGCTTGACCACTCTCTCAGTAAAGAAATTTTTCCTAATATCCTGTCTAAACCTCCCCTGGCACAACTTGAGGCCATTTCCTCTGCTCCTATCACTAGTTACTTGGGAGAAGAAACCAACACCCACCTCACCACAACCCCCTTTCAGGTAGTTGTAGAGAGCGATAAGGT